GGGGAGATGGGGGTCTCCCTGGCAGGCGGGTCGCTCTGCCCCCGGGCGCGGCGGGAAAGGGGTCTGGGCTCCCCCCAGGGGAGAGACCATGCCACCCCCAGCCTCTCTCTGGGTGGGGCAGGAGGGCGGAGCAGCGGGATACCTGGGCGCCATGGCCAGATGTCGCCCTTCACCTCCATGGTAATGAGCTGCCGCCGCGCACATACCACGGGCTAACAGAGCCACTCGTGGACTCGCAGCGAAAGGCAGCGGTGGAGGCGGCTCCAGCAGGTAAGGGCAGCAGCGGCAGATATACAGCAGGGCGAGCGGGGCTGGCGCGGGGCCTATTGAAGCGCGGGATCTGGGGCAGCCGCCCCACTCGCCCTGCCCTATATCCACCGCTGTCTCCCAGCACTGGCTCCACAGTGTCGCCTGCTTCAGCACCTCCTCCTTCGACCCCAGTGCTTCCCACCTTGTCCATAGGCATGTGATTAATCCATTAAAAAAAGTGTGAATTTTGGTTTCAGTTAGCAACAGCCATTAACTACGATTAATTGACAGTCCTAATTTGAATCTTTAACGGAGAACTTTTTTCCTTGTTTATCAGAGTTTTGAGTTAAATATGTAGAAACAAAGAAGTTTAAGCAATCTAACTTAAAAACCCTTCTTCACTTACAAAAAAAATGGATCTGCACCCTTGTTTTGATTCATTGTGATGTATGAGAAAGACTTGAAAGGATTATTTTATTTTATTTGTTTTTTCCCCACCATCTTTGAAATTCAGCATTTGCCTAGATTTGAAAAGATTTTAGTATGTAGAACTAATGAAATAATGCTACAAATCCGTAAGAATAAAAGTTAAATTGAGAAGGAAAGTGATTTTATTCACTTTCTTGTAAAAACTCTTTGCTTTTTGTTTAACACCTATATAACTGTGATAATTAATATTTTTTAAAAATAAATTATTTCTTAAAGAACCTGCCCTTCACTTACGTCTTCAGAGCATAGAATAGACAACATCTGAAGCTATTGACATGTTCTGCAGAAAAACAAGGGAAAGTCAGACTTGACATTCTTGATATTTCTACTAAATCAGAAAAATAATTCTTCTGAGGCCTTTATATATCAAAAGTATGCAGAAAGGTGGATTTTGGTTTGGGACTTGCGTAGATTTGTTTGCAGGTCACTTTTTAGTGCTTTCTCTTCATTCCAGTGTGTATTTTACCATCCATGTTTTGTTGCTTTTGACAGTTCTACATGAATAAGTAACCTGGAATAACAACTTCTTTGTAACTGTTTTTCTTAGTATTATTTTATACATTTTGTATTTTGAGTTGTTATTTATTGTGACCACCATAAGAATATTTGTGGTTTTAAATTGCAGTGCAGGTTAACTCTATTAAGAGTTTTGAAGGCCACCAGATGTCAGTACAACACCCCTATAAGAAAGCTTTTGCTCTTTGAAGATGATAAATCTTAGAAGTGCATTTGTTAAATGTCTTCAATAAGAATGTCTATGTAAAATAATATCAACATATTTTTATTAATTTGAGTATTCCTTTAAAATAATTGAGAGTCAGTTTATTTTCTAGTGTTACAAAACTGATTTGGCTGGTCAAATAGAATCTGTCTATGCAAATTTAAATGAATGCTAGAAATGTCTTGGTTTTTAATGTAGCAGTAGAGCATTTTATTAAAAGAAGTGCATTTAAGGCAATTAAGAGATGACACTGCGTCTTTTCAATATGTGGATCCATACATCGCACCATTTCACTCAACAAGTTTATTGGAACATCATTGTTTAATTCAAAATAAGGTCATGTCCCTCAGTTTTATGAGGCAGTTCTGATAAATCAGGTTTGGGTGATAAATCAGGTTTGGGTATGTAAAAACTGCTTTTGAATTAAAGAGCCTTAGTTCTACTATAGTCTACTGAATCAGCTAGCACTGAGGAAACTGACAGACTTTCAGTTTATAAATAGGATTCGGATTTTTAAATCAGTGGGGAGGACTGGGGCACCATATCTGAGTATTTTACAGTAATCAAGGCAAGAGATAGCAAATGCATGGTCAAAGGTATTTTTGTACTTGGGAGCAGTGTGGGTTATCGCTATGTTTGTTATGTTCATAGTGAAATACCAAAGAATCATAACCCAATATTAGAGTTGTTATAGTTAAATGATCTAATCTGAAAAGAGAAATAATGTTATGGAAAGCAAATAATAGGATAGGTTGACCAGGTTTTAATTGAAGTATTTTTTACTTTAAGGAAAAGATCAAATGCGGCACAGTATAGGACATGATACAAGTCTTTTCATAAGTAGAGTGGAATTGTCATGACACTTGTGTTTAAAAATAAAATATTGAAAAAGTAATCGAAGTCTAGAAAGAAAACATGAGAAAAAGAGAAGTGGAAGGGCTTATGCTAAATTCTCCATTACATTTTTCACATGGAGCACATGGTTGTCAAAGGGGAGTTGGTGCAAGATCAGAATTAAAACATGAATAATATGACTTGTCCAAATACATTGAACAGTATCAACATGGGAAAAGCCTGATGGTTTTGTTTCACCTTCGTATGAGAGCAATAAAGATGACAATCATCCTGAAGAACACACCACAGCAGATTCAGAGGGATCTGAATCAGATACTGAGGCAGGTGGTAATAAAAGTGAAGTAAAAAAGCCAAAAGCCAACTTAAAGGTAAGTTTTTATATCAAATTTATTTTATGCACAATATTAAGTTCTGGAATAACATGATTTCATCTTTCTGAGTGGTTATATTGATTTTTGTTAGTTTAAACCTTACTGATGGTTAAACCTTGATTAGAATTTCCACTTTATAGTACTTGAATAGCAAAATAAATAACTGTTAACCTTTTGGCACATCAGCAGCACTGTTACATCATGGAAGATAGATTTTTCAGTGTGGATGGCTTGGATGTAGCTAGAGGTGTACATGGTTCTCAAGGAAAGGCATTGGTGTTCCCATTAGATGATCCTTGATTGATATGGACTTCAGTATGTGGCTATAATTTTTGGCCCATATTCTTCAAAGGTATCTGCCTTCAAGGGGCACCCCAAGATGGCCATTGCCTGAAAATTTGATGTGTATAGACTTTCTCATTAATTGTCTGGGAAGAACAATGGTCTGATAAAAGTAATGTCAAAATGAAATATTATGTCTTTACATTAATGTTCATAATAAATACGGGGTAGATAAAATTTTCCCAATGCCTTTCATTCTGAGGACTAGAAACAAGCAACTTGAACGTCTAAAGGTACTGTTTCCATTTAAAATATGAAAATACCTAGATACAAATACTTTGCGATATTATTCCAATTTTCTTCCCCACTATGTGTAAAACTAATCAAAGTTCCACCAAAAGTTATCCATTAGAACGTGGGCAAAGAACATTTAATTAAAAATGAATTAAAAGTAAAAATACATATGCTAGAGGTTTACTTTGTAAATGTGTATATGGTATTCCACACATTTTCAACTATGTGAGATAGATTCTTTGACTAGCTTGTTTTACTGATGGTTCTTCAATTATATGTATATGGAATGATTGTCTTTTTCTGAATGGAGTAAGAAGCTTGAGGAGAAAAATATAAAAATTCTACTAAAATATTGTTTATGAATTGCTTTTCATCTTCCTTGATTGAAAAATATAAATAGGTGTGAAATAGAGCAATAATTATGTTGCTTCATTTAGGCATTTTGTTGACAATGAGGTTTTTTCCTTCTCAGGTGAAAAGAGACAGTGATGAAGAAACAGAGGAAGAGAAGCCTCCCAAAGTTAAAAAGACAAGCCCGTATGGAGAGTGGCGGGAAGTTAAACAAGAAACTGATGTTGCTCAGGAGGAGGCCCCATCGGTTCCACAAGCCACCTCCCACAATGTATCGAAAAAGACAAACCCCTATGGAACCTGGGAGGCAGTTACAAAAAAGGAAGACCCATAGTAAGTGGCCATTTACTATAAGTATTTATAAGATGTCTATCAGATTGTCCTGTCTATTGGGCCAAAATTTGCATTCCTCATTGTTGCCTGATCTAAGATTACTTATGAATTTCCAGTTACATCCTTTAGGGTTGACAGGCCCTTTGTCGCAGGATCAGGCTCTTCAGGGCCAGGCTGGAGTGGCTTCCCATGCCTGCAACACACCTGGGCTCATTGCAGACAGGGGCTCTCCACCTAACCCCATTTAATTGGTTAACTGGTTAAACATCACATTTAGCTGGTTAACCAATTAAATGGGACTTTACATCCCTACTACATGCTGCCCTTCCCCTCCTCCCCTTTGACAGGATGTAATGTAGAATGAACCCTATCACACTGGCAAAAATGTAAATGTCTATTTTCCCCCACTTGGGGGAGAAAAGTAGGTAGTATCTTAAAGATGATACTTTTGATATATTTCTGGGATGTGCACCATATATATATTTGCTGCCATCAATGTTTGGTACCTGTGTAGGTCTTCTGCTTATAACTATTAGATTTGTATCCTAGAAAAATGAAAATAATCTCAATAATACCTGATCTGTAACCCATCCTTTTAATCCAACACCTACACCAAGGATTGTTAAAGACTCATTTACCTCCTTCATTAATTTGGGAATAGCTTGTTTTGCTTTATCCATATCATTAGTAATTTCTATGAAGTAGATTTCTTTGTGAGCTAGCATTGAGTCTATCTATAATCCTGGGGGTGGGGGGCGATTTCTTGGTTCCACATCCAAGTAGGGTACTTTGGAGTAAAACAGAAATTTGGATTTGTGACATGAGACTCCAATATTGATACCTATATTTTTACTTCTTTTGATTGGTTAGCATATAAAATAGGCCATAGGTTACCATACATAACCAGAGTTTTCCACTTAGTCGGCCTCACTAGGCATGATGATGATGACAGTTATAACTTATTCCTCTCTCTGTAGTCCACAAAGAACAGTGTCTGTCTCAAACACATTACACCTATAGATGTACTTAACCTCTATTTTTAGCTCCTCAAAAACTCAGGGTTTTCCATTGGGCTGTTAGTCTATATAAAGTTTATTGGTTTAGATATTATAGGCCTCAAGACTTATACTAACTTGCCAAAGCTAACGTCTTACTTGAGACAAGTCTGTAGGTTACTTGCATTACCGCTGAATCTAATCCAAAGCAGAATATAATGAAGCAGGAACAGAGTAGCAGGAAATATAACAAAAGCAAACTAGCCCTCTGGGGTACGTCACTTAGACAGTATTAACACTCAAGTCCATGGGAGTTTAACCTGAGTAAAGATTTCAGGATTTTATGCATGGTGAGAATTTAAAAAGTAGTTTTCATTTTTTTAATGCTGAAGTTCATAATAATCACAAGGTAAACATAAAATTGCTGGTGACTTAATGGATGGTTTGTTTTTGATGGATATAGCCTTTATATGCCATGGGCCAGATTTTTAAGTGTAGTTTTGTAGGCTCCATTCTGGGTGTGAATGCAAATGGAAATGCATGCAATTTTTTTCACCTTTAAAAATTGGGCTGTATATATATTTCTCCAAAAATTTGATAGCATTTGATCAGAGAAGCAGATGATGCTCCTTTAATTCTCTTTCTCTATGTAAATTGTAGTCTGAATCCTGCCCATGTATTTCTGTATATCTAGTAAAATCAGTTATTCAGCTTGCTTACACATTCATTAGTTGAAACAGGACCATGTGGTCTTGTGTTGGGACAAGAGAGAGTCTTCCCATGTTGCTTCTCTACAGGCAACTAGAAATGGAGCTAGCACTTTTCAGATAGCTGTTATTGTTGTTCATGAGTTTCACATATGTTCCTTTTAGAAATTACAATAATACATTTTACTACAGTAAAAATAGTCACTTATTAGTACAAATATATCTTTCGTTGTTAGTAGTAAAAAGATTTACTAGTTGCTACAAATTGCTTGTATCATCCTCAAAAAATCGCACTTAAAACAAGGCAATTGGGGGTCAAGATTCTTGGCTTCCATTTCTGATTCTACCAGTTACTCGCTGGTTAACCCATGGCAAGTCTCTAAACTGCTTTGTGGTTTGTTTCCCTCTCTGCAAAATGGGCCTAGCACTTTAAGGGTAAATTAATCAGGATGGTTGGATCTTTAAATAAATGTAAAGTTGCACCATCATTGGACTGTCCTATTGTTTGGTGTTTACACAACACCTAATACAGTGGGATCTGGTTCATGACTGGGAATCATAAGAACTAAAGTAATAGTTTCAGACATTAGCTATGCTATTGTCTGGGTCTGTGATCTTGTTGAAAGTCACTTCACTACTCTATTTTTTTTTTAAATCCCTTCTCCTAGTGAAAAAGTGGACCTGGAGCTTCCCAATATAGAGAGTGACTTTATACCTCTGCCAGTGCTGCAGGCTCCAGAGGATGCAAAAATGATATTTAAAGAAAAAACAGTCACTTCCCTTGGAGACCTGACGGAAGAGGTGCCAATCTTCAAAAAGAGAAGATTTGAAAATGGAAAATCTAGAAACTTACGACAAAGACCAACTGATCAATAACAATTTAACAGAGCATTTCAGATGCTGTTTAAAAGAGAGAGGATCAAAAGTTACTATTTTAAACAAGACTTTTTTAAAGAAAATGTTGGCTAGAAGTTAAGACTTTATAGTTCTTTAAAAATGTATGGAATGTGAATTGTAATACTTTTTTAATTTTTATGTTGATGTGATTATATTTTGGTTTCTGAATGGAGAGTTGTACAATTTATGCAGTGTTGTAAATACATTTATTTTTTATTTTAACCCTGTTACCTGAATTCAATTTGCTCAATATGTACTACTTAAAATACAATATAATATAAAAGTGTTTGACTCCTCAACTAGGTATATGGGAATACATCAAGGCATAATTTGGAAAAATATGGTACTGAAAGTGTGTGTGAACATGAGGCAGTAATCCACTGGTAACTATGTACTAGAAAGTAGAATTAAGACATAATATGATATAAGCAGAATGGACTTCTAGCAAATGTGCTTTGATTTAATGGTCACAAAATTGAAGATGATGCAAGTGCAACCACTCCAAGCACAGTGGGAGATGTGTGTTCTAACTCAAGTTAATGGAACACAATACTGCATGTATATGAAAAATATATTGCAAGTACACAGAGATTCACACCTTGTTCTGATGAATTTGTTTTTCCTGATAAACAGAAGTGGTACTTATGATGGTAACACCTCTTTCTGTGGTATCTTCCCTGTTGTATTTTTTACTATATATTTGTATTTCCATGATTTTTCCTGCAGTTACACTTTGTTTTCTTCTCTCCATATGGAGAGAAGAAACGTCCATTATATAAACAAATCAACATTTTGTTAAGGTTAGCGTACTAAAATTCAGACTAACACGGCTACCCCTCTGATACTTCTCTCCATATGTTATCTGAGGAAGTGGGTTGTGTCCACAAAAGCTCATGATGCCATTTACACGTCTTGTTAGTTTTTAAGGTGCTGCTCGGCTCTTCGTTGTTTAAGTTTTTCTAGTTACAGACTACCTTGGCTACCCTGCTGAAGCATAATTTCTTTGTCTATTTCCTTATAAGTCAAGAATGGTCACACTAGTTTCATGAACAAGGGCTTCTAAGTTGTCTTGCTGCAGTGCACAGCTCTGACTGTTGCTTGTGTGAATTATTCAGATGAGTGTACTGCCTGGTTACAGACAGTGCCAGATTACTGATCATAAAAGCTGACAGGGACCAAGGGTATAGTGGTCCCAACATGTGAACGTACATTGAGATTGAAAAACAGAAGGATGATGGACGTAATTGATTGCAGGGCTGCTGAAGAAAGCTGTAGCTTAACGTCCGTTATATAAACAAATCAACATTTTGTTAAGGTTAGTGTACTAAAATTCACAAATGAAGTTTTTTATTTTTTCAGATGCCAAAGAAGATGGCTGTACATTGTGCTCCTCAAATTGTTTGCTGTCATCCACTAGACTAGGATATCATTGCCTGTCTAATGAAGAGCTAGAGTAGGTTCCAAATATGTTGTGTTGCCATGTCTAAAGTCATGAATACCTCATTAGAGTATGTATCAATCAATTATAGAACATATGTACAAGCTATGAAGTATTTCAGGGCCCAGATACAATCTGATGTACTTTGTAGTTATTTGTCCTGCACTTTACTCTAGCAAAATGCCCATTTATTCAATGGGCATTTTGCTTCAGCAAAGGCAATGTCTTTGTGGCCCTGCAGTTCAGCCTACAGGTGAAATGCATTGCAGTATGCACTAGTACAGGGTTATATGAAGAGAGATTAAAACGACTTGGGCTGCATCTAGACAGGCAAGTTTTCTGCAAAAACAGCCGCTTTTGCACAAAAACTTGCCAGCTGTCTACACTGGCCACTTGATTTTGCGCAAAAGCACTGATGTTCTACTGTCCAAAATCAGTGCTTCTTGCACAAATGCTTTGATGTTCCCGTTTGAGCAAAAGCCCTTTTCTGGAAATGTTTTTGCGCAAGAGGGCCAGTGTAGACAACTGAGAACCGTTTTGCGCAAAAAAGCCCCGATGGCGAAAATGGCGATCGGGGCTTTCTTGCGCAAAACCGTGTCTAGATTGGCACGGACGCTTTTCCGCAAGAAGTGCTTTTGCGCAAAAGCATCCGTGCCAATCTAGATGCTCTTTTCCGCAAATGCTTTTAACGGAAAACTTTTCCGTTAAAAGCATTTGCGGAAAATCATGCCAGTCTAGACGCAGCCTTAGACTTTCAGCTTTGAAAAGAGGAGACTAATGGGGGATATGATAGACGTCTATAAAATCATGACTGGTGTGGAAAAAGTGAATAAGGAAAAGTTATAAGAACTTATAAGAATAATATAAGAACCAAATATAGGGGTCACCAAGTGAAATTAATAGGCAGCAGGTTTAAAACAAATAAAAGGAAGTTTTTCTTCACTCAGCACACAGTCAACCTGTGGAACTCCTTGCCAGAAGATGCAGTGAAGCCCAGAACTTTAACAGGATTCAAAAAAGAGCTAGATAGATTCATGGAGGTTAGGTCCATCAATGGCTATTAGCCAGGATAGGTAGGAATGCTATCCCTAGCCTCTCTTTCTCTGGAAATGGGAGACAGGGATGGGATCATGTGATGATTACATGTTGTGATCCCTCCCTCTGGGGTATCTGGTATTGGCCACTGTCAGGAGACAGGATACTGGGCTAGATGGACTGTTGGTCTGACCCAGTGTGGCTGTTCTTATGTTCTTAGGGGTGGGCAAAAGCCTCTCAGTGGGCCAGATCCAGCCCGGTTAAGGCTTTGATCCAGCCTGTGTGATAGTTCCAGGCCCTGCGCCCTAGCGTGTCGCCTGGGAGCAGAAGATATGTGAGCCCTTTAAATAGAAGCAGTTAAAAGGGCTTGCATGCCCCAGATCCCTGGCAACACAGTAGCAACAAGCTCTTTAAATAGCAGTAATTGAAAGGGCTCGCAGCTCCTGTCCCTTGCTAATGTGATAGCAGGGAGCTGCAGGGCAGGTGCGAGCCCTTTCAACTCTTGCTATTTAAAGGCTCCACCCCTTCCAGCTGAGGCTCCGCCCCTTCCGGGGTGGTCCATGACCATGTCAAACATTTTTGAAGTGGCCCTCGTTCAAAAAATTTTTCCTACCCCTGCACTAGTACGTTGTGCTGTCACTTCCTTGTGTGAATGCTGCTGGCACTAATTATAAGCTACCCACTTGACATTAACTTAGGTCTCTTTCAAACAAGACTTTTATGTTCATGCAAATATAAGTACCTTTTAGTTCATGTCAGCGGCATCCACACAGGGGAATTACACAGTGTAACATGCTATGGCGTGCTACAGTTCATACCCTTGCAATCTGTACTTTAGGGGCATGTAGACAAACCTAAAGAGTGCAGGACTGGGGATCTTGACCATAAATTACAATAAGAATTGTGATTTGGGGAGGGAGTTGAGTGGTATTTTCCATGGAGGTGGAGAGGAATTAAATGATTACAGATTCATGCCCTTGTGTGCTGCTTGTGTTGCACTGTCATGGCAATTGTGTGGGACCTGCCAAACTGAGAAATTTCAAGGAGCTGTTTAGTGTTCACTCAGAACAGAGAAGGAGCAACTTGTGGTCATAGGTCAAGTGATAGTTAAATTTATTCAGTGTTAACATGATCAGTAAGGAAAAGTACTATGCAGGTTATGGCCTAGGACACCTGAAGTGGTAGAATTATGTAGAAAGTGCCTAACTATACATGTACAGTATATTGTTTTGAAACTTAAAAGTCAAAATTTTGAGAAGTCAAAAATTTTTTTTTGAGAAGTCAAAATTGTTAGAACTTTTGTTCCTTAAGGACAGTAAGTGTGGGGTTTCTCAAAACTATTTTCCATGCCATGTTAAATACATCATTTAAGTTCCTTCCCAAAAACAGATTCATTATTATTGTCAGTATTATGTCATTTTAAAGTGTAATCTGGGCCCTTAAAAAGCCCTAGATTTAAATAACCTTTGTTGCTTTTGGACCATACTCTTTACACTTTGACAGCTATTTCCTTGGATCACATAGAGAAATTTTACTTCATCTAAGAATTAGCTAGGGATACTGATACTCGATGGAATATTTTCTACATATGTACCGATCCCTTTTTCCTCTCAAAGTCTCATTCTTTTGGCACCCAGCACTCCAGCGCTATGTCTACACTGGCGGGTTATTGGGGAAGAACAGCCGTTCTTCCGCAGTGTCCATACTGCCCACCCGCTCTTGTGCAAGAAGATTTACAGTACAGCATGGTAAGAGAGGGCTTTGTGCGCAAGAGCTATGCTCTTTTCTAACTGGTGTAAGCTCTCTTGCACGAGAGGGCAGTGTGGACGCGCGACAGGGGTTTCTTGCACAAGAAAGCTCTATGGCTAAAATGGCCATCAGAACTTTCTTGCGCAAGAGAGCATCCACACTGCCATGGATGCTCTTGCACAAAAGCACATCTCGCACATGGAAGTGTAGATGGGTTCCTGTGCAAGATGTTCTTGCACAATAACCCGCCAGTGTAGACATAGCACGGGATTTTAGGGTAACTAGTTATGCTCTGTATATTTTAGTCCTTCTTTAAATTGCACTTCTTTAGCAAGTCCTTTTAATGTTGATTTGTCAAACCAAGGAATGTGATGTTATTGTTTGAAAAAAACATACAGTGTTTTCTGATCGAGCTGAGTTTTCTCATCTGGCACATTTTTTATCTGAATTGTATTCTTTGTCTGCCTAGAATGACGGTATGCTTCTTGGGGTAGGAGCAATGTTTTCCTTGGTTTCTACAGCCCCATGTACTCTAGCAGAACTACTGTGCATAAATGACTATTGGAAAAAGAGAAAGAGGAGCTGTCCTCAGCACTGGAATGGAATGTCCTCAGCACTGGAATGTCCACAGCACTGGAATGGAACTCAGGAGACCTAGTTTCAGACATTAGCTATGCTATTGTCTGGGTCTGTGATCTTGTTGAAAGTCACTTCACTACTATATATTTTTTTAAATTTCCCTTTCCACCTTTTGTCTGCTTAGTCTAGTTAGACAATAAGCTCTTCAGAGTAGCTATATATGCCTAGCACAATAAGGCCCAAAACTGTTGTGCCAGGAACTGCACTGATACCACCTCCTTTTCACTTTCCAACTTAACAGGAGCTTGAATTTAACCCCCTGAGGTCTGAGCACATGAATTTGCTTGTAATCCACACGTTTCCATTTTGAGGAATAGTTGTGTTCAGTGTTTGCATTTGACACATGATGGTCCTGCAAAATCAGATTTAGTTATAATATTCAGATACAGGGTTTTGGTCAAGTCTACTTCTGGTTGCCGCCTGGGGGTATATCCACATTATGAAATTAGGTTGAATTTATTGAGGTTGACTTTTAGCATTCAAGTTTTATAAAGTAGAAGTTGCATGTCCTCGCTAAGCATGTGTGGTCAACAGAATGCATCCCCACTACTGTGGCTACCATCAACTCTAAGGCTTTGTTTACACTGCAGGGTTTTTGCGCAAGAAGCTTTTTGTGGAAGAGATCTTCTGCAAAAAGTTCTTGTGCAAAAGCGCGTTCACACCTCAAAAGCGCATCGCAAAAGCAATGTGCTTTTGTGCAAGAGAGTATCCACACTGTATGGACGCTCTTGTGCAAGAAAGCTCTGATGGCCATTAATATAATGGCCATCAGAGCACCTATGCTTTTCTGATAGGCTCTTTCTGCATGAGAAACCCCTGCGGAGTGTCCACACACGCCTTTTTGTGACAGAGCTGTAGCACAGAAAGGAGTTATTTCTTGTGGAGAGAGGAATAACTTTACTGGCAAAAGCCTCTGTCTTGTCAATTTACTGTACTTCTTTTTTTCTTCACAAAAACATGCTTGAAGTGGGCGCTCCACCAGTTTTTGTACAAAAACCTTGCAGTGTAGACATAGCCTGAGAGCAATGCAGTGCTGTAGCCATCCTGCAGTTCCTGCTGCCCATTTGAATTGTACATTAGGCTCCCAATGCCTGCTGAGACAAAAACAGTGGTGTAGGTGGTTCTGGTACATGTTGTCAGCTGCCCATGATGCACTTACCTTTTCCCTCCTTCCTTCCTTGAAAGCAACAGCAAACAATCATTTTGTACCTTTTTTTTCTGATTGTCTATGCAGGCCCCATAGCACAGCAAGCATAGTCCCCACTCTGCTGCAAACTGCTATGGCAAGTGTTGCAAATGTCTCACACATTATCCTACAGTTTGTCCAGAGCCTATCCAGGACTCACCTGTGCAAGGAAGAATGTGAGGAGGTGTGACGTTATTCAATTCTGATATGAACATGTAAAACATGTTTTATGTTTGCACCAAATTTTGTGCAAAGTGGGCCAAGTGAGATGTCTATAGAAAGCTTATGATTCACTGACTCTGTTTATGTTGCTCGTATACGTATATCATTTTTGTATTTGAAGTTATGATATTGGCTGTGTATTATATTTCAAATGTTTGCTTCCAGGAGACATCAACAAGCTTTGCCAACCTGTTCTGAAAGGGTTGCTAGTCAAGTCAATAGCAGTACTACACTGACCATTAGCCTTAATAGGTGCCAATCCACATCTGAGGAACTTTGCTGTGAACATTCAGACCAGAATTTAAGCAATGGTTGATACCTAAAAATAAGGACTGAGTAGTGCATGTGTAACCCATGTACCTGGTGTGGTTCACTGTCTTGTGTAGTGGCAGTGAGACCACTTACAGGGAGAGATAAGAACAAGTGAGCTCTACAGCCTAAGCTGAGAGTCCTGGTTCAAATCTGTCTGGTGGTGTTTACACATGGACAAGTGACAGTCTCATGTGACAAACTCCCCTTTTTGGTATACTTTCGCACAAGGACAACAGTGGAATTCCCTCCACATGGGCTAGGGTATAAAAAAGGCCTTGGAAGTCCTCTATTTTTGTATTCATTCCTTCTCATTACTTCCGAAGTGTCTTTGCTATGAATTGGGCCCAAAATGACTGATGACCCAACAGAGGATCCTAACAGAGGTTGTATTCCAGAGACTTATAAGACAGCAGATTAATCCATCTCTGCTACAAGACTGCCCCAGAACTTTGAAATTGGGATAGGTAATTGGATTCCTTTAACAATTTTACTCTCAACCTATTATGTCTTGCCTTTTATTAGTAAACTTTTAAATTTTAGATTCTAAAGGACTGGCACAGTGTGCTCTTTTGGTTAAGATCAAAGGTATACATTGATCTGGGAACATGGCTGGTCCTTTGGGACAAGAAAAACCAGTTTGGATTTGGTGAGATTGATTTTTCATAACTTCTCATCTCTGTAAGGAATGGTAGTGGTTGTGGCACTGTGACGGGGCGGACAGGCCCCGCACTGATGAGCAGGGGATAGCCCAGGCCCAGCTGGCAGAGAAGGCCCCGCCCCTCCGACCCTGCTGGGCATGCTCCCAACAGCGGCCGGGTATAAAGGCCGAAGGAGCCCGGCAGTCAAGGAGGCCCCTGGGCGAAGGAGGAGCCGAGGTCGGACCAGTGTTCTTACCCGGGACACGGAGAAAGCAGCCGCCGGCCCAGAGTGGCAGGAGCGCGCCCTCAACCCCGACAGGTACTGCCCAAGAGGCGAAGGGGCCCGGGGGGAACCAGGGCGTGGTAGGAAGCAGCCCAGGGCAAGGGAAACAAGATTTGGCTCGGCCTGTATCGGCCGGATCCCCCGCCAAGTACTGTATAGGCCCTGAGAGAAGGGCCAGGACTTTTGCATTGAGACTTTGGTACTGTATAGGCCCTGAGAGAAGGGCCAGGACTTTTGCATTGAGACTTTGGTACTGTATAGGCCCTGAGAGAAGGGCCAGGACTTTTGCATTGAGACTTTGGTACTGTATAGGCCCTGAGAGAAGGGCCAGGACTTTTGCATTGAGACTTTGGTACTGTATAGGCCCTGAGAGAAGGGCCAGGACTTTTGCATTGAGACTTTGGTACTGTATAGGCCCTGAGAGAAGGGCCAGGACTTTTGCGTTGGGACTTTAGTACCGTATATGCCCGGATAGGGACTTTGGGGGCTGTACAGGCCCAGTAGGAGGGGGCCGAGCCCCTTGACGGGGGATAAAAGGGCCGGGACCTTTGCGTTGGGACTTTGGGGGCTGTACAGGCCCGGTAGGAGGGGGCCGAGCCCCTTGACGGGGGCGTACCCCCTAACAGGCACAAAAGAAGTTGGACTGTGTAAGAGGATTGCTTGTGTGACTTCTTGCTGGCCAGTGTGGCAAACAGCAGTGTTCTTTGTTACTGGTTTCATGTGCCTTATAGTGGAGAACCCTCAGTCTTGGCTTGTAAGTAGTCTTCTTTCTTGTAAGCAATTTGCCCCGATTTGATCCTCTCAATAGTGCCCCGGAAACCTGCTATATTACAGGAAACCACACACACAAACATGCAGGAACCCATTGAATGGATCAATTGGCATATGCTGCTGGCAGTTGGGTGTGTTGGCACAGTGGAATGCCTATTCTGGTGTCGGGAAACAAGCGCACACTGGTGGGACCACATAGGTACATGGCTATGGGACAATGGCCAGTGGCTGCAAAACTTTCGCATGCCTAAGGCCGCTTTCGTACAACTTTGCAAATTGCTTTCCTCTGCCCTGAATCACAGAAATACCAGAATGAAACCTGCTCTGACAGTTGAGAAGTAAGTGGCGATAGCCCTGTGGAAGTTTGTAATGCCAGGCTGCTACTAGTCTATCAGAAATCAATTCAGAGTGGGTAAATCTCCAGTGGGGGATGTTCTGATTCAAGTAGCCAACACAATACCATTAGTGACTCTGAGAAATGTGTAGGACATAGTAGTTAATTTTGCTGTGATGGGATGGGTTCCCTAACTGCGGTGGGTGTTAAATGGAATGCACATCCCTATCTTGGCACCAGACCATCTTGCCAAAGAGTACAGAAGGGATACTTCTTGACGTTGTTGCAGGTGTTGGTAGATCACAATGGCCATTTCACTGACATCAGTGTGGGATGGTTGGGAAAGGCGCATGACACACACGTCTTTAGGAACTCCTGTCTCTTTAGAAAGCTGCAAGATAGAACTTTTCTTCCAAGACTGGAAAATTACCATTGGCAACATTGAAATTCCAACAGTTGTCCTTGGACACCTACCCAGCCTATCTTTTACTCCCATGGCTCATGAAGCCATCCATAGGCAACCGAGTCAGCAGTAAAAAGTAGTTCAAATATAGGCTGAGCAAGTGCAGAATGTTGCTAGAATGTGCCTTTGGTAACGTAAAGGGACACTGTCACAATTTATTGGCTAGGTTAGACTCAGCAAAAGCAACATTCCCACTGTTGTTGCCACTTGCTATGTGCTGCAGAGAATCCGTGAAAGCAAGGAGGAAATGTTTCTGGCAGGGTGAGGGGTTGAGGCAGATCACTTGGCAGCCAATTATGAGCAGCTAGGCCCCAGAACGATAAGAAGAGCACGTCGAGGTGCACTGTGCTTCAGAGAGGCTTTCAGAATCAGTTTCATGAATGACAAGGCAATGATGTGACAGTTACGCATATTGCTCGTTACCAAGCTGCCCCCTATTGTACATGTACTGCCTTAAAAACTGCCTCCACCCAGTTGGGAAAGTGAATACATTTATTGTTCTGAAATCGTGCAGTTTTACTTAGGTAGCACAGGGAACACTGAACAGAAAAAGGAGTTGGGGGTGTAACAAGGGTCTGATAACACAGATTGGGTGAAGGGGCATGTGGCTTCTTACAATCACCCTGTGTTGCAATCAAAGCTGTGGGAATAACCACCTTCTGCTCCATGAGCCATCCCTCAGAGTTGGTTTCCTGGGCTCTCTCCCATTCCCCACATTCTAGGACATTTAGGAGAGGAGGATATGGAACTTGGTGAGAAGGATATATGGTTGATCAGTAGGTGCATAGGGACTCTATGCTCCAGCTGTGTATCCTGCATCTCTATCAGGGACCTCATCAGGTCTGTTTGCTCCTTCATGAGCCTCAATATCTCATCCTGATCTTATGCTCATGTTCCCTGCATGCGCTCCTGTCTGGTGTGGATGACTTTTAGCAATCTGCACCTCCATGCATTGAGCTGTACCCTGGCAGTGCAGGTGGACTGCATGAACTCATTAAACATTGTGTTGAATGTCGAGGTTTTTCATCTAATGTGCAAAAGCTTAACTGCTGGAGCAGGGGCAGATACCACAGATAGGCCCCCAGCTGCACTGGAAAACAAAAAGATAGACATTACAGAAGATACATTGTAAAAAACAGAAGGTTAACTCTTCTACAGTGAGTAAACCACATTAAACACAAACCACATGTTAGGTACAAGGACTTTTTTTTAATTTTAAATGGAGCACCTACCTGTAAGGTATAACACATGGCAGAGCAGAACTCATTTTGCAGGCAATCATGGTAAGCAACTCATTAAGAGAGGTCTTCAGCCTCCACTTGGAAAACAAATTTGACTCCATAGGTTTAAAACCTGACATAGACTTGATATGACTCCATTTGTTCTCCAACTCATTTTTTCTGTTAGACTCATTGCCCTGTGTCCTTTCTCACACAGTCTTGTTACTGTTGGTGCAAGAGCCATCTTCCTTATAGCTTTTACCCTCTGCCTTTCTGGGTGTCTCTCTCAAATTCTTTGTCTGCTCCCTTTCATCTACCTCACAATTCTTCCTTCCCTCTACCTGCTATTTAACTTTTAAATTATACTATTTCTTTCTGTGATTATGGAACTTTGCTATGTAAAACGATTACATTGTTTGTTTGAAAGTTGCTGTACAAAAAGCAATATTGTATTGTAAATAAAGCAGTAATCTCAAGAAATGGGAGTTTGATGCATGGAGCTGCCAGTCACAATTTCCAGAAAATGGAATGAAACTTGTATCAAATCAAATTATCAAATCTGAACTTGTAAATGTAGAAATAGTCTAAAATAATGTTAGGAGTTTTTTTGCCAAAATTATACGTGCCAGCTTGAAAAGAAACTGTAAATCAAATGTTAAAATGGATAAACAGTGAGGAACAATGGAACTGTTAGAAGTTTGCCAGGCCAACTGACCATTCTTATTTTATAACTTCTCCATTCCAAGAACAGGATATTGCCAGCTGCTTAAATGGATCTGATATGAAAATGCTGACTGACACTCAAAAGTATTGCTGATACGCCTATTCATATTACAGATTTTTAAGGCAGCATAAGAGATTTAGCGTACTGAGTATAATGTCAAATATAAGCTGTGTGTTATTAAAGAACTGTTTATATGAAATTGTATTCTATCTAGATTCTTATAACATGCTCATCACCATAGCATCTGAGTGTCTTCCAGTAGTGCATTAAGCAGCTATTGGAAATTGCTCTGACCAGTGCATCAGTCATGAGTAACAAATGACCTTTGGTTAAAATTGTTAACTTTTTAATTTTTAACAGACTGCTATTGGTGTTTGTTGTAGTTACTGCTTAGCAACATCCAAAGTATATATAAGAAAGGATTTTTTTGTGTAACAGACTATGATAAAGGGGTCTTCACAGTTATTGATCTTCTGGATGAGAAACAGCTCAGAAAGATTAAGGTTAAGAACTTTAAAAAGATGAGTAATACAAACAAAAATTTGTATCAAGTTTTTTTTTAAATATGAAAATCTTGTAGTAAACTTGTTTAGGAATTTCTTTTACAGAAAGAGACACACTTGTTCAGCCACATAGGAAGGACAGAAGAAATAAGGTAAGGTCCAAGCAAATGGTTTTGCTGGTTATGAAATATGTTTTATCCTCATTTAGGCAGAGACTATTTCTGGGAATTATCTACTTCAGGAAACATTCATAATCTTCAAAATACTAAAGACACTGACTAACACAAACATAAGCCAAAGAAACAATCTTCATTTTGTAATATGGTTATAAGAATAACTGGTTAGTTTTCCAAGTGACTGAATTAATTCAGGCTATGTCTGATTAGCATTTTCTCGTGCTTCATTTTCATAATCTTTTCCGATCTGTTTTTGCACAAAAACAAGCAGTGTGGACATTTCCATTTTGTGCAAAAAGTTTTTTTTTCACAAAATGGAAATGTCCACATTGCTTGTTTTTGCGCAAAAACGGATTGGAAGAGATTATGCAAATGAAGCACAAAAAATACTAATCCGTGCTTCATTTGCATTGCCTCTTCCAGCAAAGCACGTAGTGTAGACATAGCCTCATAGCTTCGGGATTACTGAGAACTTTGCTGATACATTTTATGAATGATGAAATGAAGGCTGGATTTTTATTCACACTGATATTTTTCTACTGGTCTAGAAAAAAATCTGTATTTCCACTGTCTTACTCATAACTTTGGTAGGCTTAATGGTTTTTCTATGAAGTGTTAGTATTTCCTCCTATGCTTATGTTTAACTCATGCACATAGGAAATGGATATATAATTTAACAATGCTATGAAAGTACCATTATACTTAGACACATGAGAAGTCATAGATTTTTAGCATGTTTTACAGTTTGGTCAACCAACCAAAATGATTAGGGGGCTGGAGCACATGACCTAAGAGGAGAGGCTGAGGGATTTGGGCTTATTTAGTCTGCAGAAGAGAAGAGCGAGGAGGGATTTGATAGCAGCCTTCAACTTCCTGAAGGAAGGTTCCAAAGAGGATAGAGAGAGGCTGTTCTCATTAGTGACAGATGGCAGAACAAGGAGCAATGGTCTCAAGTTACAGTGGGGGAGGTCTAGAAGGTCTAGGTTGGATATTAGAAAAAATTATTTCACTAGGAGGGTGGTGAAGCACTGGAATGGGTTACCTAGGAAGGTGGTGGAATCTCCATCCCTAGAAGTTTTTAAGTCTCAGCTTGACAAAGCCCTGGCTGGGTTGATTTAGTTGGGGTTGGTCCTGCTTTGGGCAGGGGGCTGGACTCGATAACCTCCTGAGGTTTCTTCCAGCTCTAGGATTCTATGACAG